ATTCTATGATCTACCCAATAGGGAAACTATATATACATATCATTCAGATTGATCACATCCAATAACCTAACTGACATCCCTAAAATAATGATTATTACATAGTTGATTCAAAAAGCCAAACTCCTTTGATTCTACTTAGAAAAGCATATTAAGCTTGGGCTCAACTAAACAATCCAGGAGAGAGAATGATTCCTAATCTAGTTAGTAAGATATTCTGGGGCCAAACAACTAGAGCGTAAATTCTCAAATGACCGACATCCAATCCCTGATTCCTCAGTTACAAAGCTCTGGTCTGAAATTACAATTTTATAAAAGAAAGCAATACAATTATCTTAAATTTTATTCCCAAGTAATTTCATATTTCTAGGCTTGCTGGTTCAGTCTTCGCATTACCGAGTTTCTGTGTCATTTCAAATGACAAATTGTAGCTCAGCGAAAAAGGATGCTTCGGCTTTGAGGTGGATAAATTATATTGATCTGTTTAAGAGGCATGTTGAAAACAGTAATGGGTTCTGGAACACCCTTGCCTATAAAACATATTGGGAACTTATCTGACCTATATTGTCCATGAAATTGATGTTTATGTGGAATGTTTAGCTTCGTCTTGTCTTACTGCTTGATATTTGGTTTTTCTGAATGAAAAGTGAGCGTTGTTAATAATTTTCTATGATTTATTGGCTTTGCGCTGTTTCTGATCGTGGCTCTGCATTTACCATTTTCGCAGTGGAGATACAGATGCTGTGGTTCCAGTAACTGCAACTCGATATTCTATTGATGCCTTAAAGTTGGCTACCATCGTCAACTGGTATCCTTGGAATGATAATGGCAAGGTTAGTTGTAACTACTAACACAACATGATATGGAAACTGACACGAGAAAATATAATATAAATATATGTGTGTATATCACCAATGTGCAGTTTCAAATGCTGGAGCTCCAATTTTAAGTATAGATGCTTCATGGTTTTTCTTTTATGATGCTTCATAGGCTTAGAGCAAGCTCTCTGAAACCGTACCCTGAGTGAACTAGGAATCATTTTGTAATTTTAGCAGAAGAATAAGTGGCCATATGTCTCAAATGGTCAAACGGGTAAAAAAATGAGCCTTCAGAATTTCTAAATTTAAAAATGAAAAAGCCAGTTTAAACTGGTTTTGAGCGGTTTGTTTTTTTACTAATGTGGTTAATTCTTGATGGGTTCAACTTGGTTTTGAACGGTTCTTTGGGCTGATCGGTGTTCTAGAATAACTGAAGCAGACGGAATGAGTAACAGATTGTGGGATTAACAGTAACAACTAACAACTAGGTGTATGTATATAGAAGAATTCAGTAACTGTATTGCTTTTCTGTTATGTTGCATTTCTGCTTAGTGCATTTATTTGTTGTGCGTGGAAGGTTGGAGGTTGGAGCCAAGTTTATAAAGGCCTTACGTTGGTTACAGTCACGGGAGCAGGGCATGAGGTTCCTCTTCACAGGCCTCGCAAAGCATTTATTCTTTTCAGGTCATTCTTGGAGAACAAGTCCATGCCTAGCTGAATAACATAGGAAGCATACACAACCATTCATAGTACTCCCAAACGAAATAACACCTATCATTCATTTACATACGACGGGGCTGAAAGACACGCGATAAGGAATGCATTCCTCATGAGTTCCCTCTTGCCTCTCAGCTGCCTACAAAAATTAGACCAAGCTCTTTCCTCAATGTTTGAAATATGTAGAATATTCATGCGAATTTTATTCTTTATAAGGTTTCTATTAATCATTATATGAAATGTGTGGGCCATTCTATGCAACGAACGTCCTGCATAATACTGCTCTCATCAATGAATACATGATACTTTTTTTCTCCTTAAAGATGAGAGTGTAATGAAAAAACGTGTACTGTTAGTTAACGGAATAGACTAGTAGTTGTCACCTGGAGAAAGTTTGAATGGACGCTGTCGAAATTAGCATTTTATTGATTTATTTGTCAATAAACCGGCGTGTAAAGCTACATACTGTAGATAGTCTCGTAATACCTACAAAGCACCTAAGATCACATGTTGACATGGAGTGTAACATGCAAGTGAACTTTGATCAAGATGATCCGATGGTTAGACACCATTGGAAATCGACTTCTGTATACATCATGTGTATGTATAATTAATTAATTTCTAAATGAAGACGGCTGTGTGATTCACATGTTATTATGTCATATATTTTTCAAGAGTCCATGTTTGATGATTTGCTTGGGTAATTCTTTGTGGCCTCCTCTATATCTGTTCAAATGCAAGCGGCTATCAATTCAACTTTCTTCGCTGATGGTATATATTTGGATGAGTTGCAAAAAAAATGATTGGGCGGTGTGATTTGAAAGACGGAACTATTGAATTGATTAGTATTTGTTGAAAAGAAGAGTCGTAACTCATAATATCCAAGAAAGCGGAGGGATAATGAAGAGAAATGATTCCGAAACGAGAATGGATGATGAGGTGCGAAGACAAAAGGTGTATTGATTCCGAGAAAGGACGAGTGATAGAGAGAGGGAGGGGGTGGCGCATTCAATTTGGACGGTTCATAGGAAGGTTGTGAGAGGAAACCAAGTTGAGAGAATGGGATGCAGAGTCAAATGGCGACACTCTTCAGCCCTCACAAAAGTCTCCACCCTTTCATCGTTTACGCAGCTCTCTCCTTTTTGGCGGCAGCGGACAACTAATTTTGGATGGCTGTCATGTCATTGTCAGGGATTGGGGGAGAGTGGACTTTTCGTTATCCGGCGTCTGTAGTATTATCCGAATTATTATTATTATTGTTGTTGTTGTTGATGAAATAAATTTCGGGCGGCAGAGATTTTTGTGTTTGTGATAGAGACGGGCATTTAAGGGTGTGTTTGGTTGGAGGGGAGGAGAGGGGAGGAAAAATGAGCCCCTCCCCTCATTTGGTTAAAAATTTTGAAGGGGAGGGGAGCTAAAATGTCCCCTCCCCCATTTTGGCTCCCCTCCAAATTGGGGGTTTTTGGAGGGGAGCCAAAATTTTGGACCATTATGCCCTTGTAGTTTTTTTAATATTTCACTTCTATCCATAAAATATATTATTATAATATTTATTTTAAATAAAAAATATATTATCCTAAGTAAAAAAATAAAAAATATATACATTATTATAATTAAAAATATATTATAAAAATTATTTAAAAATAAAAAACTATTTAAATAAAAAATTATAATATTATAAAATTAATTTTTTATAAATATATTATTTATTAAATATATTTTAAAGCTGGAAAAAAAAGATAGCCTAAAGAAAATAAAATTTCATTTTTCTTAGAGCATATAAAATTTGTTAATTTGATTATTTTAAATATATTATTATATTAATTAGAATAAAAAATTACTATACCAATTTTTTAATACACATATTAACATGATAAAACTGAATTTTTATTAAATTATATGATTTAAATTAATATGTAAATTAATTTATATAATATATCAATAAAAAAACATAAACTAATATGTAAGGGTAAAATGGTAAATTGATTATTACTATCCCTCCCCTCCCCTCCTTGAACCAAACAAGGGATCATTAAATACCCTCCCTTCCCCTCATTTTTAATCAAACCAAACAAGGTGAGGATGAAACCTCTCCTCCCCTCAAACCAAACAGGCCCTAAATGACGATCCCGATCCGGGGCAGGCCACGTCCTCTATTTTAAAACACAAAAATGCCTAATTATCAAAAGACCTCAACCCGCCAGCTGATTTCGTCAATGCACTCACCTCCACGCAGCCATCTATCATTTTATTTACAAATACAATTAGTTTTATTCACTCTTGAATTACTCATTTTGTAATGAAATTAAAATGGGATAGCATGAGTCAGTCGTCTGATGCGCCGCAAAAGTGTTTTTTTTGTTTTTTGGGTTCTTTATTATCTTCAAGACGGAAGCAGGGGGCAAAGAATCCACTGTTTGTTCATATTTGATTTATTTTATATGTTTTTATTATTTTCTATTTAACATATGCAGATTTTAAAATAAAGGCGATCATTCAATTTTGTTTTAGTTTTAAAAGAATAAGGGTGTCGTTTAAGAAATTACACATTGAAAGATTTCAAATCCAAATCCAGAAGCACAGGAGATTGGGGTAACAGCATTTGTTGAATGGGATACTTATCAACGTAATCTCGGTGCCTGCTCATCCCTCCAAATTCAATGCCTTTGACCGATGCTCCTTCCATAAACGGAATGCCAATTTTATCCGTCTCACTGACCCCACCAGCGATGATGTTCATTCGTTTATCACTTCATATTTCCGATCACAACGTACCACCCTTTTGCAACTTGAGAGTCTTAAACAAGCAGTGGGGCCCATCAAGGACCCAATGCCAGAATCCCTTCATTTCTCCTCCTCTTTTTTTAATCCACTTGCCTCTGCCTAGGCCAAACCCGTCTCTCCTGCTTCATCCTGCAGCTTCCCCCAATCTATTCATTTTTAGTAAACCCAGTTTACTTTCAAACTTTTCTGCTCCCATTCAATTGGGCCTTCCTCTCCGAAAAGTAACATTTAATATGCATACAAGCTTCTTTAAATAATGAAAGTTCATCCCATAACTAACTTGGAACAGGCAAAAGAAACGGCTGATGTCACGCGTTTATATGAATGATACCATGAACCTCTTCAGTGATTTCACTAGAATATTGATGGCTGTTTTCCTTTTTCATGGATTTAATCAATAAATTTGAAAAAAAAAAAAAACACAACAACAACAACAAAAGAGTTTAGCATGGATGGCAGAGCAGAGAGGAGCCCCTTACTCATCTTCTTATTCGCTCTGGTCAATGTTTGACCAATCATTGGTTTGAAAATGTCAAAGCCTTATTCCTCTGAGCAATACACACTAACGCGCTCCCTTTTCCTCCCTCGCTCCCGTATTTAAACCTCTTCCGGTGCAAATAAGCAGAACCCACCCCACACAGGAACCTATTCTCGTCGTCCCACGCTGACTTGTCACTCCCTGCATAATTTTCCCCTCCCTCCCCATTTCTCCTCCCGTGCCTTGCAGAGATCGGCAGACCCAGCGCAGCTCGCGGGATGGCTCAAGCTAAAGAGCGAACCTTGGAGGATACCCCGACCTGGGCCGTTGCTGTCGTGTGCTTCGTCTTGCTCGCTATTTCCATCGCCATTGAACACCTTCTTCATGTTGTTGGACATGTATGCGTTTTTGTTTCTTTTCTGGCACTGCGTAAACTGATTCCTGCTTATATGGAGTTGAGAGCAATTTATTTGCACAGGACGCACAATTTTTTGGCATGACCTTACTATTACAATAATTGTGGTGCACCGTTCTGATAACTTCCTGCTTCTTGAAATTATACAGTGGTTCAAGAAGAAGCACAAAAGGGCTCTGTATGAAGCACTCGAAAAGGTTAAAGGAGGTACTTATCCTTCTTGTGACTGGCTTTGTTGGTTTTTCCAACCTCTTTAATTATTTTTTTTTTTGGTGATAACCTCTTTAATTTGACGTAACAACTTTCTTGCGTTTGGACTTGCTACAGAGCTCATGCTGCTGGGCTTCATATCGCTGCTGCTCACGGTGTTTCAGGATCCTATTTCCAATATCTGCATATCAGAAAAAGTTGCCGCCTCTTGGCATCCTTGTGCTGTTCCAAAAACACAAACTCAAGCCCAATCTGATCCTGAGGACTCTGACGACCACAATTCTCGCAAACTTCTCCAGTTTCTGGACCCCTCACCTCGACGTGTTCTCGCCACCAAAGGATACGACAAATGCGCAGACAAGGCAAGCTCATCCATCACCTTCATGTGAAAGCAAGAGAGATTCATTAATTAAGCTGATGACATCCTTAACCATGCTAATCAAATCAAGTGGTCCCTCCTAACTCCCATGTTTTGTATTTGCAGGGTAAAGTGGCTTTTGTTTCTGCTTACGGCATCCATCAGCTCCATATATTCATCTTTGTGCTCGCAATTTTTCATGTCCTTCAGTGCATTATCACGCTCGCTTTGGGCAGAACTAAGGTACTTACAGCGTTCAACTTAAGGAAATCACATCCAACAATTACTTCTCCTTTCTTCTTGTCTTTAACTCTTCGATTGCTTCACTGGGTTCAGATGAACAAATGGAAGAACTGGGAAGATGAGACAAAGACTCTTGAATATCAATGCTATAATGGTACGAAACTGATTGGCAATTTTATTCACGAGTACCAGAACGGTATTTTTGCATATTTACTCTTTTCAAGACTTGCTTTTCAATGTTGTCGCACAATAATAGGAAGCTTTGAGATTTGGTCCCTCATGAATTTCTTTCTCAATTTTGTTTCGCCCACCTGAATACTTTTCATTTAACCTCACAAATAAGATGTTATCAACAATATTCTTTGGGGAAATTGCAAAAAAAGACCTTGGAATTGTAAAAACGCAGATAGGGACCCTTGACAACTTTACTTTGGGTTTTGACAAGAATAATATGTCCTGAAGTTGTCAAAACCCAAAGTGAAGTTATCAAGGGTCTCTATCTGCGTTTTTGCAATTCCAAAGTCTTTTTTTACAATTTTCCCATATTCTTTCCGTTGTATAAAAAAAAAAGATATTATCAACAATATTCTTTTACTACTAAAAAAAAAAATTTTATTGATCCTGACTGCGGTCACAGACAAGCACAACGAAATTATATTTTTAAATTAGCTGCAGTCTCAGAACATTGGGCACTGCGTTATTTTTCCCAAAAAAAAAAAAACTCTGAGCGGGTAAATTGAGGAAATAATTTTATAAACGGTCAAATCAAGAGATGAGATATCTTTGAGGGACTAAAACAAAAAATATTATATGAGTGAGAGACAAAATTAGAGTTCTGCCCTTTTCAAGAGTCAATCAATAAAATTAGCTTATAATGCACCCGCTTGCCGTGATTTTAGTCAATGAAATTAAAAAAGCTATATAGAGCAGCCACTCCCCCATGATCCATCTGTTATATGCGTTTAAAATAAGGGCTACAGGCCAAACCTATTTGGTTGCTGGGGAAATTTTGCTCTTTTTTTTTTTGGGGGGGGGGTGGTGACGCGAAGATTGACTTCCTAATTATATATCAAGCATAGTATTATTTCATGTGCTTTCTTGGAATGAGGATACTAATTTGTAGCTTTGATTTCGTCCAAAGACGTGTGTGAGCGAAACAAAAGATGGATTTAATTATCACAATTTTGGAAGTTTGGGGTACGCACCATGTCTGACATTGCAATTTGCATGATATGTGTTGCAGATCCTGAGAGGTTCAGGTTTACGAGGGAAACAACATTTGGGAGAAGGCATATGAATACGTGGACTCGTTCTCCCATTTCACTATGGATTGTGAGTTCAAAAATTGCATACATTGCCTAGTCGGATTATAATGAGCTCTTCATTTAGCTTGCTCTGGAATTATCTGAACTTAAAACATCATATTGATATAATTAAGCATCAAGCCTGGCATTCTAAGGCATCCTTATCCCTTTTAAACCAGGTTTGCTTCTTTAGACAGTTCTTTGGATCGGTTACAAAGGTTGACTACGTGGCACTAAGGCATGGATTTATCATTGTGAGTCTCTGCTCTCTCAAATGTCTAAATTAAAAGCTTTTGGTTCAGAAAACAACCCCAGACCTGAGACTAATTAACCACGTAATTGCAGGCTCATTTGGCCCCCGGAAGCGAATCAAAATTTGATTTCCACAAGTACATCAAAAGATCACTTGAGGAGGACTTTAAAGTTGTGGTGGGAATAAGGTAAGAGACATCGACCATGAGGATCTTAATTTGCCTAATCTTTTTTTAATAACTCTACCTGGCAACCTAATCTTCAACTTACTGGCACTTGCAGTCCCATCATATGGTTTACGGCGGTCCTGTTCCTTCTGACAAACACCCATGGTAAACCTAACTCAAAAAATTTTAGAGAAATTTGCTTATGATGTACTTCTCCAGTCTTAAATATAAGACCCATTTTATAGTGTAATTTATACTACAAAATGGATTTTATATTTAGTACTGAAGGCAGTATAATGATATGCATTAGTTGTGACTTGTGTGATTGGGTGTGTACAGGATGGCGCTCTCATTTGTGGCTTCCATTTATCCCACTGATTGTAAGTACCAAGAGCACTCTTGTAAACAGTCGATTTTAAAAGTTTGTAATTGTCTTGCTATGTTCGGATGATAGGCTATAGCTAATACTATGTTTCAATGTAACTTGGATGTTGCAGATAATCTTATTGGTTGGTGCCAAGCTTCAAACGATTATAACAAAGATGGCATTGAGGATTCAAGAAAGAGGGGACGTGGTGAAGGGTGCACCGGTGGTTGAACCAGGGGATCACCTTTTCTGGTTCAATCGCCCTCGTCTTCTCCTCTTTTTGATTCATCTCGTTCTCTTTCAGGTTCTTTTTCTATTTTCATACTTCCTTTCACTTTGAATGCTACTGCTTATGATGATATATGGTTATGACTGAATTGCTTGCCGCTCTAATTTGTCGCAGAACGCATTTGAACTTGCATTTTTCGCTTGGAGTACAGTAAGTTTCTTATCTCGTCTTCGTGAACTTCACTCAAGTTTGTGCTGGAATGGACCATATGTTTGTTATTAATGGACATGACTGCAAAAAAATTTTATCAGAAGCAATTCGTAAAAATAAATGTATTTGACAGAGAATGTGTCAATATAATCATGAAAAATTCGAAGAAGCCACAACACATTTTCACCATCAGAAAAAGTGCATAATAGGGAGAGATGCACTTGCAGAGTTATATTTTCTTTAGCCCAGATTCCTGTTCTTTTCTAGAGACGTTGCTGGTGTATAATTTAGTGCCTGAAATTTTTTTTCTTTTAAGAAAATGAAGCATACTCACATGAGGGGTTTATATTTTCTAGCCAGAATAGAACACTAGCCTCAATACTTGTCTAACTCTACCTATGCCATTTGTCTTTTCGTGTTTCAGTATGAATTCTCTATAAACTCTTGCTTCCACCAAGATACAGCGGATATTGTCATTAGAATTACAATGGGGTAAGTTCCCTCCTTCTGCAAAATAATATGAACACTCCTATACATTGAACGGCTAGGCTCAACCGTTGATCATTCATGAGCTCATGTTTTGGATATTATTACCTCATTATTATGGCATCGATCAGTAGCATGCTAAAGTACTAATATACGAGTTCCAAATTTTGCAGGGTTATCATTCAAGTTCTGTGCAGCTATGTGACCCTGCCTCTTTATGCTCTGGTCACCCAGGTAAAAAAATATGAATGAGTACTCCCACAAGTAGTTGCATCAGATTCATTCTTTAATAAAAAGCACTCCTTCACCGGCTCATTAATTTAATCGAAATCATGGTTTTGTATAGGTGAAGTTTCTTAATTAGATGGAGATATAACAACAAACGTAGTAATTATTTTCAGTTCAGGAAGTCAACAAAACCATCTAATTAATTAATTAGATGGTTTTGTTAATAATTAATTAATTCAGATTAAAGCAGCAGGCACTGATATATGAGTGGTGTTGACTCACTGATGGCAGATGGGTTCAAGCATGAAGCCAACAATTTTCAATGAGAGAGTAGCAACTGCACTGAAGAACTGGCACCACGCAGCCAGGAAGAACGTGAAAGAAAGCAAGCACTCCTTATTATCAGAATCGGTGACTCCATTCTCCAGCAGGCCTGCCACTCCAAGCCGCGGCATGTCTCCAGTTCATCTGCTGCAAAACCACCCCTTGAGAAGCACTGAAAGTGCCCATACTTCTCCCAGGGCTTCTTCTTCGAGCTACCAGGACAACGACCATTGGGACATCGAAGGCTCACCTTCCCCTAGTCGCCACCCTCACGATCAGGCTGTTTCGCAGCCCACCGCCGCTGCTTCTGATTTGCCCCCTCTTCCTCAGCATGAGATCACCATTGCCTTATCTGACTTCTCTTTCGACAAGCGGCATTTGGATAGAGACTAATCATCGAGGATCAAGCTTTCTTTCTTGCCCACAATTTGTACATGAAAATTTCTTTTAAGTGTTTATACACGCACACAGAGGTTTATTTTCGTTGCAAATTGAGAATTTTCATGTATTTCAAAAGGAGGTATAATATTAGAAAAAAATGTGATTTCATTTCCTTTCTTTTCACCCGTTATTCATTTTTGTTTAGTATTACTAGGTTCAATTGAAGTCAGCTTTCTTAACGTGATTTTTCTATTTATAAATTCTTCCAACTTATTTAAGGCAAATTAAATCGCGTTCGCTTAGCACATTCCAATAGGTTCCGAATTCAAATTTTAGTTACTAACACAAAAGCAAAGATGTCCCTGTTATAAATTATATTTGCTATATTACTATTGATAGTTTTCCTTCCATGTTCTTTTCCTCGCATGCATTAGTAATATCTATGCCCAAACATAACTTCTTGGGCCCCAAAAAAAATTGCAAATTCATTAACAACTAAGATTAAATGTATATTGAGTTACCGTCAAAATCTTTTTTTGGGGAATAAAAGAGGGCAAAAAAAAAAAAGTTATACTAACGGAAAGTTCCCAATTTGTCACACTCAGTCGGCGTCTTCAACTGTGAAGGGCACGAATCAAAAACAGAAGGTTCAGCAATTCCCAAGTATACCAGCCACACTATTGCAAGCTCTGGGCAAGATTTGTGGCTTCGCATACTTTGTATTTTGAGAATCAGTAAGCTACAGTTAGTAGGTTCAACGTTGGAATTCAGCGTATCAATAAGGCACTTTGCATTTTTTTTTTTTTAATATGCACAAGTATCAACAATTCTGTTCAAGTCACTGTCGGGCATTAAATATAAATACTTCTCTTAATGAGAATTTAAATCTTAATTTATTATGTGTGTTATAAGAGACTAATTCTTCCTTTTAAACCCAATGCTCATTAGTCATTTGATTGAACGATGACTCCATATTCCCAAGCCAAGGTCGGACCTTTGAGGATAGCCCATTGTTGAGCTTCTATAGCAGAACACTAAAATCCAAAGAGTGAGACATGCAGGGACGCTGCATCCCTTCTTTCAGCCCAGAATCGTTTCGTGAATTTGTTGGGCGCCCACTTCCCTGAACTTGACTTTGCCAGCCGCGGACTTTCGAAGCATTAAACGGCTTCAGGGGATTTTATTAGAATAAGCAAGCCCTAATTTCTTGTTTTGGTCCCAAAGCTTGGAGCCATCTACATATCAATTTGGACTTAAGGGTGTTTGGTTTTAACTGAAAATACTTTATAAAGATATTTTCATACAAATCGAAATACAATTCTTCTCACATACGTATTTTATATATAATAAGATTTCTTTTTTTAAAACTACTCATTTCGTCCCTTGTTATAAGATCTACTTAACTATATTATATGGTTTTAAAAAAACCGTTAAAATTAATTAAAAATAATAAATATGTTGAAAATGTCTTTTTGTTCCTTAAGTATGTCCTTATTTATAAGTGGGTAGGTGTGAGTGAAAAAAAAATGGAGAGAATGTATGGGGAAAAGGTAATACGAGAAAGTATATTAATTAAGGGTAAAGTGAGTAAAAATGTATTTATTGTTTAGACAAATTTAAAAAAGATTTTATAAATAGAAATAAACCAATTTAAAAAAATAGGATCTTATAATAAAGGATGGAGGAATATGATTCGGTTTTTACTCAAATATTTTGTGTTCCCACTTCCTTACTTGGATCCTAGTTTCGACCCAACTCGGTTTGAGGCACGGGGATCATTCTGGATGACGATATTGGCTCCTTCGAATAACAGTCCACAACATTTGCTTTCATAAAATATGATTTTCATTTCTTCCCCGCTTGCTAAAAAGACATGTTTAAGCGGCAAACACACAAGAAATTCCTATCTACTCATCAAAGAATCAAAGAAGTATATAATTGGCCGAATAGTCAGATCAATCAGAAACTTCAGGCAAAAAAAAAGATCTGTCAGAAACTAGCTACGCAAGCATACCAACTTTGGCCAGAAAAAAGGAGGGGGAAAAAGGAATCTAGGTAAGCACACCAATCAACGAAACAAATTAAAAGACAAAGCAAGGATGCATAGATTAACAAAGAAACAACAAACAGAAGCGGATGGAATCCTCCTCTTGAGCATAACATTATATCCTTGATCATTATATTTGGCAATCCAGAGCACTGATACAATAAAAACACCCCCCCCAAAAAAAAAAGGGGGGATGACCATTGACCAAACAGTTCCACACGTATGGAGATACATACAAATCCTCGATTGTGAGAAATGGATGCCAAGTAATTAATTTTCGACGAATAAATGAGAAGTAATGTGAAGGACAGAACTGGATTATATATGAGACTAGATGTGGGTAGGTAGGGAGGGTGAAGATGAATAAGAAGGGGAAGTTGGCGGAGATTTGGTCTTGCGAATATACTTTCTGGCCCAAACATGCTTTCCATTGATGCTGAACTTCACTTTGCCTTTGCCTTCCAGCACCGCATCTATCAAATCTATGGCATTCCCACGCACAACCAGCCGAGCATATAGAGGTTGCTCCATCATTTCCACTTCTTGCATACATACTTCTTCTATCATATCTCCATATCTTCTGCAACAAATGAATCAAGAGAGAATTGACGTTTATCCCCCTTGGTAAATACAATTGAGAATTGAGAATTATTATATACAAGTCTAGTGCGTAATACAGGGAAATGCAGAAAGAACCTTGAGAAGTAGTCTCGGACCTCAGCCTCAGAAATAGGGTACCCTTTTGAGAAAGTCAAAAAGATGGTCCTTTCATCAGGGGGCACATTCCTTCCCGCACTAGTAATACTCAGCTCCAACCTCTTTAACATCTTACTCACCTCATCATTCTGAGACTCATACTGAGCAATAGTGTTGTGTCGGGGCTGCACAGCATGACGAGTAGAGTCATAATAAGCAGGTTGCACCCCCGGATTTATCTGGCTCCGCCTTATCATAGCCTTCTCACTTCCCACTTTCTGCACTATGTCGGTGAAGGCTCTGATGCAGACGTCGTTGATTATTTTGGTGATGGCATGGACTATGGGCTCACGGTTTTGGAGCAAGTAACGGATGGTGACGCTCCTCTGAGTGATACTCTGGGTTAAACGCAAGTCTTTGATGAGGTTGGAGTCATGAGGGAATTGGTCGCCCTCGATGCAGCTCAAGGCCAAGACGACCTCATTTACGAGGTCACGAAGTAATGAATCAGAAGCACTGAGGAGCTTGGACACGAGCCTGAAATCCTTGCTCATCTTCTCCAGCCAAATGAGGTATGCCATGACCTGCATGGCCTCGTTGGGTTCGCGGCCAAGAGACACCAAGAGCCGGGTGAAGAGAATGCGGTCGATGTTGTGAAACTGGTTAAATTCATTTTGGGAGCAAGAAGACGGAGAAGCCATAGTTTATTATGGAGGTGAAGGAAGGTGGTTGGTAGGGTTTGATATTTAAGGACATGAAGGGGCGCCATTGACGACCTTTTGAAGGTAACCATTCATGAGTGGAGTGCATTTCTGTGTTGATAAAATCTTTCCATGTGTGCTCCAATGAATTTGGATATATATCTATGGATCTGTAAGAGGGAGATGGGGCTCAATGAATCTCACGTCTCTTTCTATTTCTTTCCTCCGTCGTCATTCGTCAAAAGAGAGGATCCATCTCAAATACTCAATACTCAGAAACTCCGACTTCTTAATTTGCTTTGTTCGACGAAATTAATGGGGTGAAAGGTTTGTAAATGGATTTTTTTTTCCGATGGATTTTGTAAATTGATTTGTGTATCCCTGAATCCTGATTTACTTATGTTTGAAAATCTAAACAGTTGAATTTACGGTCTATCATTTACTAATAATAACTAACAATAATAAATAATAATAATGGAGTAATTTGATTTCGTTTAATTAAACGGGTAAATGCAATGTTGTAGAGTAAAAATTACACTAAATTAATTAAGATTTAAGACTACCAAAAAAAAAACTTTAATGATCCCCACCTGTCAGGATACAAAGCGCCTATGTGAATCTTCGTTAATTCCTGATATTAAAAAAATTTCAACGATTTTATAGCTGGAAAATATTTTTAAATTAAAGTTATAAATATGTACAAACTCCCAAGTATATCTCGCTTGGTGATATTATTTCTCGTTTAAGTTCTTATGATGCCATAGGTTCTGTTCATTGAACAAATTAAATAGATAAGCTAAGGTGTCATGCACTCAATCCATATTATGAACTGAATATATAGATAAGTACATTTAACCATTTATTAATTGAACATAAAATTATTACTAATCAATTGTATTAATTATAAAATATAAAATTAATTTGTCCTAATTATAAAAGTTAGTTGACTAATTTGAAGAGATTAAAGAAAGAAGTTTAGTTATTTGTAATAAATAAGTGTTATTTTTCCTAAAATATTCTTACTAATAAATTGTATTGGTTAGAACTACCATTGTTAGAAGGATTACTTTAGAAAAAATGCATGAATATGAGAGACAAAGTGGATTGATGTCTTATATTTAAAATCAAAATAAAAGTCAAATAAAATTTTATGTTAATGACTGGAAGTAGTACATTCAAAAGAACGTTTTTGTTTTTATTTTTTTTGGTTGGCCAATTCAAAGTTACATTCTACCTTTGCTCATATTCTCGAAATACCATGTCATCTATTTGGGGGATATACTACCTACAGTACTACGATACGCATTGGCCGAAAAAATTACTACTACCCCGGCTTCTTAATAAAGTCTGTTTGACTTTTGTTTTAATCTTAAATATAATACTTTAATTTATTTTGTTTTTTGTATTTATTTATTTAAGATATTTCTTATAACAATAGTAGTTTTAGTCAATACACTAGATTAGTAAGAATATTTTAAAAAACACAATACCTATTTATTAAAATAATCAATTTAACTAATTTTCTTAATCTACCTAAATTAGTTATATTAGAATAAATTTTTCCCTACCCAACATTTGGGAGGAAAGAAAATTGAAAAAATCACAATTAAAGATCCTGAAATTTGAAAAACACAGATAGAAACCAATGATAACTTTACTAGGACTTTTGATAATAATAATATGCCATGAAGTTGTCAAAACCCACAGTGAAGTTGTCATAAATCCTTATCTACATTTTTCAAATTTCAGGGTCTTTTTTGTGATTTTTTTCAAGAAAATTTGTGGTGATTTTGGGAATGGCCCGAAAAGGAGAATGGGAAATGAAGAGTCAAGGACTGCCGGGTTTCAATTCAAGGGGCCGGGGGTTGGAAATTGTGACTGGGAAAACGCGTCGTATTCAAGTAGGATGAGATTGAGATGAGGTCGCTTTGTAACTGCTTAATTAGCCTCTCTTAATAATTAATGGCCTCTTTTGTCTAACTCTTGTGTGTTACTCTTCTTATCTTATTTACAAGTCACTTTTAATATGTTTTATACTAATAAACTAAAAACTTAAATTTTATGAACTTTCGTTTAAAATTCAACAATTTTTTAACTTTTTTCTTATTTAAAATCCCTTATATAAACAAAGTCAACACAATATTAAATGAAAAATAAAATCATACATTCATATAAAAAAAATATATGACTAAAAAATGCCTTCTTTCTTTGTAAGTAGAATAACACACACATTGGATTAGGTTCTTTGCATTTCATTTGCATGTGATTCTTAGACTCGAGTTGGATAATGCTGTACTCAACCGGCTATGGCCAGAGAAATGTATGTCCACGTCAGCATACGGTATTATTCTTGAATTTACGACAATTCAGCATCACATAAATTTATCCTCTTATTGCCTTAAGGAAAATCGATAAAAATGTTCACGCAATACTATTTCAAGCAGAGGCAAGTTATACCATAACTTTCTAAAGCTGAAGCGCAATATTGTCAAGTGATTCAAATAATAAAATCCCATATTTATTCTTTTTCCATTGCATCCATAAAAATTTTTAAAAAAAAACTCGGTTTACAGTAAGCTTCCAAAAGCAGATTATTCTCTGATCGAACCTTCATCATCACCTAATACACTAAGCATTTTTCATTCCCTTCTTGATTTTAGCTGACAGCACATCATATGCTTTGGCCCATGCATTGCCCAGCTCCTCGTTCCACTTCGCTCCCACTCCTTCTTTTATTGTTTTTAGCATTGCCTCCCTCAGCGCCTACAAATCAAAAATCAGCTTCACTTCATCACTAGCTCATCACGAAGAAAAAAAATTAGATGACCAAGTTTTAATTATACATATTTATTAAGAGCATATTACTAGTTCTAATTACTTTGCATCACCTCGAAATGAGAATCAATAACTCCCTTTTGAACATGCACAGAACTCATCTGCTTCAATGTAGCATCTTCTATCACAATATCTCCTTTCTCTCGTAGTTGAATGGCTGATTCAAGAGTCTAAAAATCCACAAATCATAGTATTTACACATTAATTGTAGTATGTATGTCTTTGTTTTAAAACCTTCGAGATAGTCTTGTAATACAAGTGGGACAAAAAAGAGAGGATAAAAATTAAATTACAAGTAAGAAGCACAGGAAGGGATCCATTCTTTTCATTAAAGGAAACATTTCTATGTTAGTTTCTGTAGTACTTTTATAAACTTACCAGCTTAAAAACCTTCATGGCCTGGGCCTCTAGCTGCGGGTTATTTTTGGGAACTTCATTTGCGTCCTTCAGGAAAGGAAACATGTCTTTTGCCGCGGGTAAAATCTCCAACAACCTATTCAGTTGAACCAAAAAAAATAAGAAACGAGGAAAGACATTTAATACATTAGCAAATTAAATGAAATGGAGTTGAAGAGGAAGGTAAAATAAAAAAAAATGAGGTTATATATCGCAATAGACAATTACAGGGCGTAGAAACGAATACTGTGGTGGGAAAAGTTTTTTGTCAAATCTTCCCAAGAGCTTTTGACTAGAGCCTCTTCCTTCTCAGTGAAGCTAGCCATTGATAAACTTAATTTGCTTTATGGTGTTCTGAAAACACAAAGTTAGTCTGTGTAAGGATTTTGAAAGCAAACTCACACTTTGATAATTGAGGCAGATCGTGTGAAGAACAATGATCGATTTTTTAGAGCATTCAAATGATCTGGCTTTGGAATACAAGATATTGGATGATGATAGGCATAGGAATGCTCATTATTGCGTCTTCGTTTTGGTCTGTTTTCTTTTTCTTTTTGAACATTTTTCTCATTTGTATGCAAAGTAAATAAAGCAGTAGTGCCTGTCACCCCACTAGAATAATGACTCTGTATTTGTTTCTTCGAAAACTAATTAACGGCCTTGAAGGTAGACATATTTTGATCACAGAAAATTACATGTTCTCTCTAGGCAAAACTAATTAATTGACATGAACCTGGCCAAGCCAATCACACTTTCGACTTGCCACATGACGCATTGAACTCTTTCCCGGGGGAGTGAATGCTTCTCCAAGAGTATGAGTGACAAAAATTGTTTTATGACAATTTCATTATATAATTGCACGAGGAAATAGAAAATTGATTGAAATCACATTCTTACCTTGATTGCATGAGAATTCTATATTTGCGTTGACATACGGTTATATTGATGATGTCGCTGAATACATGTAACTTGTATTTCCTTGTTTTTCCCTTTCTTGTAGGGTGAATGTATGTAAAAGAATTTTAAGTTCATCTCAGTTATTATAACCATTTTTAACGAAAATCAAAGAAATAAATCCAGTAAAATTATTTAAAAAATCATATTTACTCCCATATTACATGTGTTTAGTGGGATTATTCTTCCCAAAGAACAATAAAATTGAGGATTCAGCAGAATAATCTGGAACTGCCATGATCAAGCTTTGGTGGAAGTTCAACGGATGCCCGAGGGAGATCTAAAGGGGAAGGCACATGCAAAATATTACAGAATAATAAAAATAAAAAGACAACATGATTAAGCAGAGTCTCAGACGAATTGTTGAAAAATCTCAAAGTGAATGACGAGTGAACAAATTAAACGATGAGGGGAAAAGCCCTAGCTCCTAACAGATGAAAGTAGGTACATACCAAATCAAAGGGTGTTAATTAATTGTGGATGGCCTCACCAGATTGAACCTTATAACTGGTAATGTTGGTTGAAGGGGGCGTGTGGAGCATTTTATAACGAGATCAACAGTGTGTTGGTGCGTTTCTTTCTGCATGATGTGCGCTTTGCTTCTTGGTGCGTTTCTTTCTCCAACTTGCGTGCACATACTTTGATCAAAATCAATCAACTATGACTGGCCTTAAATCTCATCCCTGTTGGTCAGAATAATTCATACATTTTATAATTTCTTATTAATTCTCTTATGTCATATTATAAATTTAAATTTAAAAGTTTAAAATTCCCAAATCACAGTATTCACACGTTAATTATATATGGCATGGTATGCCATCATTAAAAAAAAAAAAAAAAGTGGGGCTAAACATTGAGGGGGTGTTTGGATAGAAACCAAACCATGGTTTCAGAAGTACTTTACGGATTACGAAGTAAATATGTGGAGGAGATTACCTCGTTTTGCGGAAAAGTGCTTCTGAAACCATGGTTTTGGGTTTCCCAAACACCCCCTGAGTCACAGTAGCTTACCACGTTTGCTCTCATTACCACAATTTCATGTACATGCCTGACTTGAAAAATCCTGGAACAGGTGAGTTAAAAAAACCACTTAATTGCAGGGGTGTGTTCCTTATGGGACTCGAGTGAGTCATCTTTAACGCATTGCTAACTTGTGCTTATGGTGCCCAGAGTTGCGAGGTTGGAGGGTAAGCGGTGCTTTGCTTTGCTGAAGTCCAATTGCAGCAAACCGAACGGCCCCAAGACGTGCGTGCATGTAAAGGATTATATTGACTGGTAAATAATGGTGCGAATGCAATCATACGCGAACAGGTCTACGTAAAACAAAGCACCACATAATTCACTCTACCACGAATGATGCTGTATCTATATTAACTTCGTGATGCTTGTGGTGTCAACACAGTTACTTCTCAGATGTCTTGGTCTTGGCCATGAAAGTAATTGCATGTCTGTGACTACTTCGCTGCTGTGCAGCCGTATGTCGCATCACCTGCGAGTACTTTTCCATACGAATTCAGTAATTCACCAGTCCATCATATGTGGACTCAAATAATAATCCATCATCCGCTCTACATTATTATGAATATCGCTTCCCAACACACCATGAACTCCTAACACTGTTGTAAATCAATTCCACACGCTATCTTTGCTCTTCTCTATACCGGAATCTCTTCACCTTTTAAGTTCAAACCGTTATTTTGTCACCTTTAGTCTAAATTGCACACCCTCTAAATTTTGTTAAAATAACCCTTTCATCGGTTTAGCTATCCTAATTACTACCTCTGATCCTAATTATAAGACTTTGTTTGTAATCTACAAATGAGATCTTATAAATAGGACTAGAGGTAGTATTAACTAAGCAAGATCCAAACAAATTCGGCAAGAACTCGGTCCACAGCTGTTTGAATGGCAAAAGAACTGGACTCTTCCTTTAAAGCTTGGGTTTGGGGTTTCGAGATTCTCTAGACCATGTGGGAGGGATTATCTTGTATTCTTGGGCTGGTTCCGTCTCTTCAACTTCACCTTCGTTTAGAATGTCTTCGGGGAAAGCATTTGGATTGGCTTTGATGCAGTTCTGGAGAGCAACAAATGGATGTACACAGTCTGATCCCTAAGACATGAGAGAAAACAGCATAATTCAGCACTAAATTATAATGAAGAAAATATAAAGGAAGAACGAGCATTTCAAAGCTACTTAATTGGTTGGCACATGTAGTTTAAAGCATACCACCATTAGAACTCTGAACTCCCGAAACAGTATGATTTGTGTCAACCAATATGATATAATGATAAACCAAAAATAGTACTCCATGCAAAAAAGGTATAACTGGGAATCTTTGTGATTATTGATGACATTTTTGGTTCATAGAAAATGAGAAATGTGAAAGGATACGGGTCATGGACAGTCATACCCGGGAAGCATTTGACAAATTGCTACCTAACATCCTATGGTAGCATGAAAATCAATGTCATGATGTGGGACACCAATATACAAGATATTATGGCGTACAAAAATGTCCATGTCTAGCATGACAATAGGAACTGTCACAAAAAGAATGCAGTTGGTATTTCATAAATGTCAATTGAGCCCTTAAAGACGAGATATGAGAGGATGAGAAGCTTATTTTGGTGACCTTTTGAGTGGCATGAAATGATTGCGTAACCCCTTAAATGGTGTGATCAAATGAAACTATAACATGTTGGACGATATCCATCATCTTGAATATCAAATTAACAAATACAGAAATCACAGATGACAACTTTAATCCACGATATCAGATCAAAATGAAAATATGGCAAGATACCAAATGCCTCCTGAAATATCGTCCATCTCTACTGCAAGGTAATCAAAACTACAAGCAACTGTAACGCTCACTTAAAATCAAATTGAAAGACAAAGACCATCCCACTGCTCCCTGCTTCTCATTTCATGAATAATACATGAATAAGAACAGCTATTTCTCAGAATAAATCCATTGACTAAATAGGAGAAGTATTGCCCTAGGTGCCAAGTTGCTAATCACCCATTTCCAGGTACCTTCTCCTCAGCAGTGCTCTTGAGAAAACAAAGGAACGCCTCTGAAAACTGGTTTCCACATGGACCACTTCGTAAGTCAGCTATGCAAGGGCATTCCAAAGCTTTCTTAGCTTTTACCTCAACAGACTGAAATTAGAAAAATTCAATTTCATTAACTCAAATTGCATGTTGGAAGCACGTAAACTCACATGTTAGGAATGAACCAACCTCTGTCCCTTCATTTCCATAAGCTACAGCATCTGTAATTAATGAAAACAGGTAATCACCCATCACAGTTCCAATCATCTACAAATTTAGTGCCAAGATGAAACAACGATACTGATTCACAGCATGCTAATTTGTTATGGTACAAAGAAATTAAAGAGAAAGGAGAGACTGTATTTGACTCGCATTCAAAACTATTTATTACAATAAACTCTAATTTAACGTATTCCCCAAAGGAATTTTGTCTGCGTGAATAATTACTGATTCTTACTTGAACATAGATTTCAACTATTCAGGTTTTTGGCAGCATTTAATAACAGGATGACACCAAGACAGTGAATCAGCAATAGCAATTGCCAGTTGTGCCAACTGCCGGTCAAGGCAACAGTAATCAAAATGGTTCATCTTTCAATAGGGATAGAAGCTAAGAACTGAACACTGATGAGGAGGTATTGCCTGGCAGCTATAAAGCATTGATCTCAGAAACAACACTCTCAGATATGGATCTTTATACTCAAATTCAAACCAATACAACACAACATTTCAAACTTCTTATGAAGACTATATATCTCATTATTCTGTACTATTCTTATTCTTATCATATCATGTATATTCGTGTCAAAGTTGACGTTTTAGCTCGGCAACAGGCCGGCTCACACAGAAAAAGGATCTGAAGCGATACCGGCACTGCAATGCCAAAGGATAATTAGTACGAAATGCAATATGAAATATCATATCTTATTTGATACAAGTGTCATACATGAACAGCATAAAACTTTGTTTTTGCGGGGATAAAAACGGTGCTTTATAGACAATATGTGAAATTGTCCGTGAACTGTAATTAGAGAGAAAACATTACACTAGTGGTTATGAATCAACAATGGGTAAGGAGGCTGGAAAATTAGAAAGTGCAAAAGCTGAGAGCCCACAACTTCAACTAGGCATTTTGACAAACACGCGAAGCCAATAAACTTTGACGAGCTAGTGAATAATCTGAATTTGGCAATCGAGCATAGCACATTACGATACAAAGTTAGAAAGGAAAAGGAAAGAACCCGCAATGGCAGTTTCCAAGGAAGTGGAGTTTGACTTGGTAGTTTCATCTTTGACAGCAGCAGCAGGAGCAGCGTCAGCACTCATTGTTTGGCCCATCTTCGAATCTTCGAAAGATATCAATAGTGACCCAGTCACAGCATTCAACGAAGCAGGCTTTTGGGTGCTTGCTCCGTAACGAATCAATCCCGAGTGAATCTTATTTCAAATAGCTTCTCAGTAAGATATAAGGAAAACTCACTCGCGCTCGAAACGCTGGAATAGTAATAACAAGAACAGGTAAAATTGTCCGATTAAAATACACTATTTGGGTCAAAATGTAATTTGATAAATCAAAATATAACGAGAAATTAAAAAAAGACCTGAATCCGGAGGGAGAAGTGGAATTCGGAAATGGCAGAATAAGGTGGTTTTTGAAGGATGCGTGATCCGATGGCTTCGATGTGGCAGCCTGTGCGGAGTAATAAATACCTAGTGCTCCTGCCTGGGCTTTTCCCGTTGCGTTAAGACTCACAGACGAGGGCAGAAAGAAGTAAGTTCTTTTTTCTTTTTCTTTTTTTCCCCTTGGTTTTAGTTTTTAGGCTGTTCTTCTGCGGTAAAAAAAAAAAAAAATCACATACAAACTGTTGCTGTGGTTTTGAAAACAGAGCAACACAATCAGCATAATAAAGCTTCATCCCTTGCAGCCTGGCACAGGTTACAGTCAATGGTTGTCAAAAGTCAAAGTAGTCATCCAAAGTCAAACTGCAAAATCAATTACGTCCGCCCAATTAGTCTTCTAACAACAGAATTATATTTGCATTAACTGGATACTGAATGATAAATTGAAAAATCCAAGTCCACTATAAAGCTCTCCCAGCCAACAAAACACGTGCGAGTCAAGTCGTCTTGCCTCTTGGAAAATCCAATAATATGGATGCTCTTACGTTATTCCACCGGCGAGTTGAGACTACCTGCTTCCCCTACAATTCGATACCAGCAAGCACCAGTTCTGGGATTTAAGTGCCCCTCCCTCACCACCTCCAAAGCCGCATCTATTATCATCAAGAGCCAATTCTCGACTTGCCCTTCAGAATTAGCCGCGAATCTATCTTGTGCAGCTAGCCATATGAAAATTTATATCTATTATGCACTTTTAACTTCTAAATTTTACTCCACATTTTCTCAGCAGCTCCACGGTTAAAGTTTTTCCAAAAACCATTTGAAAGTTCTGTGCTTGTGTCCATTTCCTGCATTATGGCGAGCATTTTGCAGGCATACGGAGCACAACATTTTTTTCATCCAAAATCCAATTGCAACGACTGTTGAATCAATCATATGATCTGACTGAACAACACCATCACATAATAAACCCAATCGATGGAAGAATGCCATAAACTACTAATAACTTCCTAATCCACTTCGTCATCGCTGCAGGAGGAAGAATGGGAACTTGACTGTTTGGACAACGGGTCAAGACGTTGATGACCCGTACGAGATCACCGTTGTAGGAGACTAGATTATCTAAGTTTTCCATGATGAATCATCCATAATCTGAGAAAAGGTGTGGAATTTGGTTTTCAATTTTGGACAGGAAGAAGTTTTCGTTCAACCGCATTGGAAAAACTGCCAGTGCTACGCGTCACCGACAGCGAGGGCGACGACTAACTTTTAGTTCAGTCTTGATTTATCTCCCTCCGTCTTCTTTGTGAAGTAAGGGAATGAAGGCATGAGAGAGGGTTGAGGAACATTTGCTCGATAGACGAAGGAGGAACAAGAGATGAGCAGACAGGGGGAAACGAAATTATTGAAACTGAAATCTTATTAAAATAATAATAACGTAAATTAAGTAAATGCCAGTTAGGATTAAAATATGAGAGTTAGTTAGCCGAAGCATAGATGATGTGGTTCTCTAGATATGGGTGAGAATTTCTGTCAGGGAAGTCCAAATCACAAAATAAGAAAGCTACATTATAAAAGCTATAATACAAAGCAACTACTACCTCTTTTTCTTATATTTAATATAAAAGCTAGTGAATTAATTTGAGTAGGATAAAAAAATTAGTTAAGTTAGTTATTTATAATAAATATTTGTTATTTTTTCTAAAATATCCTTACTAATCAAATATATTGGCTAGAACTATCATTATTATAAGAACTATCTTAAAAAAAAAAATAAATATAAAAAAACAAAATGAATTAGAATCTTATATTTAAAATCAAAATTAAAAAAAAAACTCATATTAAGAATTGGGAAGATAGTAATTTATATCTGAAAAAACAACGTCCAACTTCTCCGGTGATCTGTTGTTCCAATAGAATAACAATGAGAAAAACAAGATCAACTTCTCCTCACTCTTCACTGGGCCATTCCTCCACTGCCCCTCCGTTGAGCTGAAATGGCGTAGTATTTTATTTTTTTCACCCCTTACTCCTTTTTCACTTTATTTTTTCATCAAATGTTGATCACCTCTTTTGTTGTCCAACATCACTCCTCTTCTCTCTCTCTCTCTTTTTCTTTTTGCCAAACTCCTCCATTCTTGTCCTGAGCTGATTATTTGTAATTAATATATAGATGATTTATCGCACTTCTTTAAAAAAATACTTTTACGATTTAATGATTAAAATTTAATACTTAAAAATAAAAATATCCCTAGGCCAATAAAATAAAAATATCACAATACATAGGGAAAAAAATAATTAAATATAGGAAAGAATATGGAGGCCGACTATTTATTTACGCAAGAATGATGAATCAGCAGCGCCATCGTTAATCCAATTATACAATTCACAGTGTTCAATGTATAATAAGAAAAACAGACAGCTACTGAACACTCTACAGATAAGAACCTGAGGGTTTAAGAATCAAGATTTACTCCCTCAGATCCTACCACCTTATCAATTTTACGTTTCTCTTTCCCGTGCCCTTTGAACTTCCTCTTTACACAATGGAATATGCTCGGATCACCTCCACAATAGGTGCTCGGCATAAAGGGCACTTTCCTCCACCACGAACTAATTCATTGGCACATTTTGAACAAGTGCACATGTGACCACATCTGCAAGGTAAAGGATATCAGACCATTGCATCTTACGGTCACAAATAGAATAGAGATTACATCCCACTAAAATAAATTACAAAAAGAAAAAACTGAGTTTGGGTTTTTGTATTCACTAAAAAGTAAGAATGCATCATGCATACAATACCTGTACAAAAGCGAATCAATATGGCTATCACAACAAACACAACAAGTTCCTTTTTTTACATGGCCCCATTTAGACCCATCTTCAGATGTCTCGGCGCCCATTCCTGCAAGGTCGAATTAATATCATATCAATAACTCGAGGTAAAGAATAAACACAAATAAATAGCTGTTAAAGGAAATGTAACCAATATAACTTCATCATCTATAATGAAAGTAGGTTCTTTCCTCCAAAACACAAGACCCACAACGAAGAACGGGGGGGAATTAAATATGGACCCAAAAAATTGAAGAAAGGAATTCTACCGCAACCAAAAAGGGGAAAAAAATTAAATAAGGTCCTAAAAAATGTATGGAAAGAATCATACCACTTTCACCCGCTGAACGATTCAGCGCTGCAGACACTTCCTGTCTGACAGAGCGTTGTAACTCCAGCTGCATATCCATGCAAGCCTCCAACATCCTCTGCATGTGATTCATGCCTTGCTGAAGTCTTGCCATATCTGATCTCAAATCATTGATTATCTCCCATTCCTACCCCGAAAACCAATCAGTATCAATACCCATAACCTTGCTTGAGCACCAAGTTCAATACTTACGTAGTATGAAGGCATTTATAGGTACAGACTAAATTTACAATATCTTAATAAACAGAAGGAGTAGGATTGAGAGCCCAGATTGATTATCTACCCAGGGCAAAAAAAGAAGAAGAAGAGCCCAGGTTAATATCTCAACCAACTTCTAATTGCTTTCTTGTTCCCAGAAAAAACTCACTAGTAACTATCAATGATTTCAAATAAAAAGAAAAGCAATGCACTTTCCTTTTCCACATAGACATTCAAGAGGAAACAAATTTCAGTAAACATGCAGTGATCTTTTAAAAGCTAAGTTGAAGAAAGAAGGGAGAAAACAAGGCCAACGTAAGTAGACTCACAATTTCAGACCGATGCATGCTATGGCGAGACCATCCAGTCTGATGCAAGTCCTGGTGCCAAAGCGGTTGAGGTGGAGGAACTGGCGGAGATGGCAACACTAGAGAAGGCCTATTAATAGCATCATGTTGAGCCCCATTTCGTTCATCTGCCTGTTGTTCAGGATCCCCGTCAGGTGAGGCAGGAGCTGGTGTTGGCAAGTTTCTGTGCAAATCCCAGTCAATAGGTGCACGGTTTTGCCTTTCCACGTATGACTGGATTAATTGGTCCAGACTTTCACGGAAACCACTGCGAAGAAGATTGGAAACACTTCTCCTGAAAAAGGCAAAAATGCATCAACTATAACCCTGCTTCCTTCAAGAAACATAAGCCAGTAGATCAAATATCAAACTAAGGTTTGAAAGACTGTTTATATAAAGCCTTCTCTGAAACAAAAGAAAGAATTACCTGCTCAAAAGTTCTCTAAGCTCCATGCTATATACATTATCATCCTCTGGTGGATGAAACCTATTGAATCTCCTAAAAGGAACACCACGTCGATTCCTTGGAGGACCAGAGGGCTCTTCAGACCAATTACCAGCAGCTTCCCTTGAATTATCCTGATGCCAAATTCCCCGAGCTTCTCGTGGATGAGCATCTTCCCCTTCAACATTTATTGGAGAATCATGCCGCCAATCACTTGCAGCCCTTCCATCTCTTAATTGATTCAACGGACCATAAGCTCTCCGTGGCCAATTTCTACGACCATCTTCAGTAACTTGTTCCTGCCAGTTTCCCCCTTGATTACTAGTTTCTTGCCAACTCATACTCTCACTAGTGCTACTTTCGAAAGCTCCTGTTTGATCAGCCAACTGCTGCACATCAGTTTCCAGGCTCCTAACCTGCCCTTGTTCATAAATTTCGTGCTGGGCATCTGTTGAATTGTTTTCTTGGTTCACATCACTTCTGGTTTCGCTGCTATTACTATTAGACATGGCATCAGAATTGCTGCTAGCTTGACCACGAACAATATTTTCTAATCTTGAGCGAAACCCTTCTCTGAATTGTCAAAGAAAGAGCATCACTAAGAATCATAACACATGCAACTTTTGCCTCAAAAATAATCTTCAAGATTATTCCTTTTTCTTTTTCTGTGAACAAATTTACCATAGATAGATACCAGAGATGCGGCAACATGTTAAAAAGGAAACTTCTTGATATATTCAGATGACACCAAATTGAACTGAATTTTAAAAAGGAAAAAGAAACACACCAAGTGAGCAGACTAGGTACACATCTCAAGTCTTGTTGAATTGCAAAACATAAATATGCAAATGTCACTGCTTATTGATGAAACTTATGGGCATGACCCAAAGTACTACTGCGTTCAAGTAAAGGCTTAAC